GAAAACCTGGTCTAGAAGGAGGCGTCCCTGCTCATAGCAGGGGGTTGGAACTAGATGATCTCTAGTCTAGGTCCCTTCCAACCCAAACCATTTGATGGTTCTGTGAAAGCAAGCGTTTTCAGGAACTGTATTTCTTCTTCTCTAAAATACAAGATTCCAGGGGGTTAACTGGTTCTGTGATCATTAGTGACTCCACTCTGCTAAAAACATTATTTTTCTACATTGAATACCATTGTATAACATTCTAAATACTTACTCAGAAATCATCTGGGAGTGTTAAACCAAAAGCCACATTCATTCTTTCCTAAGATAAATGAGCCCTGTTCCACTGGATTCCCCAGGTTCACTGGCTGTTCATCTATCAGCCACAACTTCCCATCAGGAGCCAGGGGTTTTGGCCTAGGCCAGGAAGGATGAGGTTGTGCAAGGTTTTGCCAGAAGAAGATGAGTGTTTCTGCTTGCTGATTGTCCCTGCCTGAGATTGTGTAATTTCAGTCTCAAGCCATGTGAAAAAGGATTCGAGATTACAGTACAAGAATTTCTACCTTCTCTCTCACTACTGCAGCTGAGGTTTCTACCTGTGCAGAAAACAGCAGATCAGGTTGAAGTTGCTAATTCTGTTTCCCTGTCAATGGAGATGTAATATAATGCTCACTTGGTACAATGGGAATGTCACTCTTCCCAGCTCTGAAACCTCTCCCTGTGTAACTGAACTCTTCCTGACTTCAAGAGTACTGCTGTTGCAAGGCAGCTCACCAACCACTAGAATTTCCCACTGGGATTATGTTAAATTTTAGAAACGTATTATTTCAAAGGTGGCAGTTTGGGCTTTGTAGACTAGAACTGTTGATTTTGTTTCTCCTGAGGAAAAACTTCTGAAGACAGTGAGGAATGAAGATGTGACCTATGCTAAAATTAGGATATTGTTATGTTGCTCTATTTTTAGAAAACCTGTTAGATCCTATTACCCCTGAACTAGAAGCTGAGAGTTAAACTTCTGTCCCAGACAACCAGGCATATGTCCTCATTGGGGCCCCTTTCTCCACAGTCTTGCATGTTGCTTGCATACATGCTCTGCTCTGCTCTTGCTGCTTTTTTGGTGAGGAAATTAAAGCACAAATTTACAAGCTCATGAAAAGCAGAAGTCTCAACTGTTCAGTTGCAGTGCCTGCTCAGGAGGGGAGCTGAGCAGACCCGGGAATTGGGGGGTATGGTTGCCTGCAAAACCAAAACACAGCTGTTAGGGCTAATTTTAGGTTTTCTAGTCTTGACGCTAGCCCTCTATTCCAGCAAGCTGTTAGTAAGTCGTAAGCATTCCCAAGCATGTCCCTGAGTTACAGTGGGAATGTTAATGTGACCTTTCTCTCAAATTGTATTTATAGAGGCTGCTGAGATAATGAGAGACATCGGAACAGCCATCCAGTATCTGCATTCAATGAACATTGCTCATAGAGATGTCAAGGTGAGGCCTGAAGGTGTGTGGGCAGGGAGAAAAGAGCATAAGGTAAAAAAATAAATGGTCAGTGGGGGTTTAAATAGAACTAGGAGCACAATCAGATGGTCAAAGTGTTCCTATTCCTCTGCCAGTGTGAGAAGGCATCTGTTCGCAGCTAGCTTGCAGCTAGTCAAAGGTCAGAATATTCGTGTGTGCTAGTGTCTTCCAGTTGTGTACAGAATGCAGAAGAGTCTGGTGATAGTCAGACGGTTAATTACAAAGGTAGTACAACTTGCAGTCCAGTTAATTAACAAGAAAATAACACTGCTTGAAGTGAACTTATACTGGATGTTATACCTTTAGGTACAGTCTTTGCCAGTCACTAGTTGTTTTCAGGATCCTACTTGCCTAAAAAACAAAAAACCAAACCAAAACAAAAACCATTCCTTCAGAAACCTCCTTCAGAAACAGGAGGAACTGTATATATGGGAGCAATAATACCAATTCCATGCATCCAACCCACTTTAATAGTATACATAAATATTTGGGGAAAATGGGAAGATCTCAGTTACTCCTATGTGGAACACTGTGTTTTATTAACTAAGGTTTGTACCCAAATCTTGTTGTAGAGATTTGACAGGGTTTATAGTATTGTATTTTATTTTTGTTCTGTCAAGTGCACAGCATAAGCAGAGACAAGATAGCTGCACCAGGGCATTTCTAGCGCAGCGATGTGGCAGTGTGATGGAATGCGCTGAACAGCAGGTCACATAATGACAGACCGAGGCATCAGATTGATTCCACAGTTCTGAGTTTGTGAATTTTCTATAGACGCTTCTGTGTATTTAGCTGGAAAACTGCCATTATTTAGTGTCACTGAGGGGTATGTTTGGGGGTTCTTTAGGTAGGAGAATGACTTAACAGTTCAGAGACTAAAAATTTATTCACTTATGTGGAGCTATGTGCCATTGCCTATCAGCAGCCCAGAAACTGAGGCGTTTATCCCTGAACACCCCCTGCACACACTCAGTGAACCCATAGAAATGGTTCAAATTGCTTAATAGATCCTAAATCCTGTTTTCTTTCAAGTCCTTCCTTCTGTATGTCCCTAAACACTGGCATGAGGGAGGGCATAGCTTCCTTATGACTGAGAAACTGGAAAACAAGTTCAAAGAATTGCAGATTATGGAGATGTGCTGTTGTCCCTCCTCTTGTGCACAAGAGCTTGTTACTTCCTTCTGTGCCATTTCTGATTTGGGAGAGTCTTTATGGAGTGTGGAACAAGAGCAGAATTAACTCAGTGTGCTCTGCAGAGTGCTGTCGGATCAGCTGGTGTTGGTCAGACAGAACAATCCCAGTAAGTACAGTGAACTAGAGAGAGGTTCAAGAAGCCGGGCTTGACACCCACTGGACCTGATGAGAGTCTTGGGATTTGCTCTCTTAAATAACCATATTGAGAAGGATTTGATCCGTAGTCTTAGCAAAAATGCTACAAGTTCAGAGGAAACTTTCTGCCTGGTATGGTGGGGATGTGAGAGAAGTAAGAAGACCCAGCTGCTGGTGGCGATTCAGGCAAGTGGGAATGGTCTGATCTTTCAGCTATTAGAGACGTCTCTTCATTGTCCAGTTTATCCTTTCTCTTGATGGTCTTTCAGCCTGAAAACTTGCTTTACACATCTAAAGAGAAGGATACTGTACTCAAACTCACAGACTTCGGCTTTGCCAAAGAAACCACTGTACAAAATGCGCTGCAGACCCCCTGTTACACTCCTTATTATGTGGGTAAGTTATCCAAGATGCATTTCTTTTGTCTTTCAGTCTGCCATCCCTCCCCTTATGGTGGGTCTGTGGACTGTAGCCATGGATGGAAAATCTTCTATTGTGGATGTAATGCAAAGAGGTATCCTGCAGAATTAAAACTGACATCCAGGACAAACCTGGTCTGATACCAGTACAACTCAGTGCTCCTGCTTTCTTCCTTGCTTGCAGAGGAAACAGCCTTAACAGGGGATACAGTGAGGATCAAGGAGAGAGAACATGTTGCTTCTGATTACACTTGAAGTAATCCTGATGTTTCCTCTGAATGATGCAATCAAAGCTGTAATTTGAACTCAGCTTCATTATTATTTGTGTGTTTCCTTGCAAAACTTCCCTTAGCTTAACTAATGCAATGAAAGAGAACAGGGAGAGTATTGCTTCAGCTGTAAAGCTTCTTAAAGCTGGCAAATGGAGGAATTAGTAATAAAACACCAATGTGACTTAATCACAACTGAATTTTTGCCTGTGTTTTGTCCAAAGACAGAGCACTCTGTAATGAATGCCACAGTAGGCTGCCCTTTATGCACTCATTTTAGAGTACATCCTTTTTGGTCTTTGAGTTAATAGTCATTCACCATATGGTATGGCTGAGGCAGGCTTTGCTTGGAATCTCTTTGGAGGAAAAAGGACTTAATTTTTTGGGAGAATTGGTTCTCTTCTACGATGTAAGTTTTAATAGTTTTTTTTGTATTGAAATATAAAGTTATTCATTGTTAGAGAATCGGGGGGTTGGAACTCGATGATCTTTAAGGTCCCTTGCAACCCAAAAGATTCTGTGATTCTATTAATTACGACAGCAATTATTTTTTTCTTCCTGTGTATTTGTAAACTGGGATTAGTGATAAAATGTTAAGGAATTTACCCATAGATGTTTTTAGGCCTTTATAGTTGTATATAAACAGGCTGACATTTCCCTTCTCAACACCTTTTTATAAACCAGCATGATTGCTCATATGTTTAGAGAGTAATTTCCTTACAAAATCATGCTCCCTGCCAGTTCACCTGCCCCAGGGAAAAAAATAAAAATCTCCTTTAAATGTATCTCTCTATAATTTTGTTACTTAGTGAAAAAATGTAATCCTCTGGAAGCCAAAGAAAGCCACATTGCTCTGTAGCTGCTGGAGCTAAACACATTCCACCCAGGTACTGATCAAAATTGTATCACAACTCAAGTAGGTCCTTTCTGTTCTGGTTTCTGGAACATATGCTTCTGTCTCTTTCAGTGCGGTGTCCCCCTGTACGCATTTAGCTATAGCTCCTTCTGCTTTTCTGTAATCTCAGTACTCTCTTGAGCAGAGAGATGCTAAGGTGAAGAGTAGGGCATTTTGCCAGCTCCATTCCTCCTTTTTAAATCTATGTTCAATGTGTTTAGGAACTTGTCAATATAAAATACTACCCAGTTCCTGCAGTGAGTTGCATTTTTTTAATGCCTCCGATATTTGTTGTTGTGTGCTGCTACTTATAAGATGATGGAGATGGAAGGAAATATCTGGTACTCTGTTAATTCCTGTTTTTAATCTTCTTCAGCCCCAGAAGTCCTTGGTCCTGAGAAGTATGACAAATCGTGTGACATGTGGTCGTTGGGCGTCATCACATATATTCTGTAAGTATCTGGAAAGAGGCTTGATGAATGGGAAAACACACTTATTAAATCTGCACTTAGAACTAGATGGTCACTAGGATCATATAACCTGCGGAAAAGTATAAGCTTGTATGGGACTTTTTAAGAGATTAAAGGACTTTCCTAGTTATAAGGGTTCCTTTGTCCACTTTTACAGCCTGTGCGGGTTCCCTCCGTTCTACTCAAACACCGGTCAAGCCATTTCTCCAGGGATGAAGAGAAGAATTCGGATGGGGCAATATGGGTTTCCCAATCCAGAGTGGGCTGAAGTATCAGAGGAAGGTAACAATGCTCACTGCTACTGATGAGTATGTGCATGGTGTGCAGTGGTAGAGTGCTTACAACAGACCATTTCTAAAAACCTGTTTTGGTTTTTGTTTCCCTTTTTTTTTAGAAATTAAATTATTTTTTTGTAAGGTGATACACAGAATGACTGGGAACTCAGACACTAGCCAGCAACCTAAGTAGTACAGAAAGTAAAAGACTTTCTTCCAAGTTCCATCTAGTGCTAGTGAATGCTGAGATTAAACCCTCTGGAAACAAAGGTCTTTAATCCTGAGAAAGGAGACTGTCAGGGCTGCCGCAATGTGAGCTGAGTTGGAAGAAAGGGAAACTGTCTTAAGAACTCATTCAGTCTTTGCCCTCCTCGGTGACACAGCCAGCAAGGAAGGCAAGTTTTCATGTTAGCTTTTTGTGATGTGGGAACTTGCCAGCCACCACTTAAATCAAGGTCAACCATTGATTTTGTATAAGTCATTGACCAAAAGCTGCTGCTGTTCAACTGTGACCTGGATGGGCTCAAACCAGTGTCCTGAAAGTGAATGTTTTTGATTCCCTCTTATTCTGACAGTCTTATAAGCTAGAAGTCTCACCTGCCCATCATATTAAATAGAAACCTCGGCAACCTCTGTACACGTCTTTTTTTCTAATAAGCCCTTTATATTGCTGTTGCTAGCATCCTATTATTGTCTGCTGTTTACAGCAGATACAAGTCCTAGTATTGTCTGCTGGATGGTACTGTGATCTGTGGCACTTTAACCCCTCTTGGATCTCATGGTTGCATGGGGAGCATGGACTACTGAACATTAATGAGGAAGGCATTTTACCTATAGGTTACTGGCTTAATATTTTGTCTGCCTTGGGTCTTGTTCATATTACAGCAGCTACTAAAATGGTAGGGGAGTTTGGTGAGAGACCATTCGCTTGGAAAATCTGTAGGTTTTCTGTATGCTTGCCTGAACAAAGATAGGTGCTCTCTACCTTTGAGTCTATTAAGATCCGCTAGTTTAAGTGCACTCTTTCAGGCTGATCAGGCACCTTCAGAAAACTGCTTCTTTTTGCCCTCCTTGATACTGTTCTTGTCATGGTTTTCTTTAATCTTTCCTTCATTGCATCATCTATGGAGGCTTCCTTTAAATTCCCCACCAGTTTCCTGTAATCATCTTAATGGGCTCTGTTTGTGGTCCCCTCCTTATGTTTAGACTCCAGGTAGTCTCTTCGGTAAACCTCATTTGCAGCCTCTCTAGACAAACTGAAGTCTCAATTTGTACTTCTGCCAGCTTCTTACAAGCATTTAGTCATCTTGCATTCAATGTTTCTGAAAGAGAACTCTTGTTCAGAAGCTTGTCTAGGTTTCCCTGAGGAAGTTACATTTAAGTCTTTCTAAATAACCTCCCTTGGATGTAGTGTTTCCTGTCTGTCCACCTGCATTAATGAAACTCTTGTCCAGATTCTCATCATCTCGTATCTCAGTTACTTATTACTCTTGCTTTGGCAAATACCATGTTCACAGAAAGATGCTACAAAGCCTGTTTGTGCAATCCATTTCTTTGACTTTGTTGTCCTTTTAGTTGTCAAAGAGAAGTTCATTGTTTTGTTTTGTGTTTTTTTCACAGCCTGCACTACTTTTTGTCTTCTGTCATTTCTCAAAACGTCAGCTTATGCATTCATTCAGCCCATGATGCCAGGCTTCTCACCATCTTTCAGACAGTCCACTTGGTAGCTTTCTGTTCCTGTGTTTCTCTTTTTCTCAGGTTCTTGCTCTCAGAACAGTTGATTTGGTGATATAGATAGCATAGATGGAGTCCCCAATCCTTTGCCTTACCTTCTTACCTCTTGTTTTGGATGTTTTTGTGTTCTTTCTCTTTAAACATAATAACCTCCCACACTGTATGTGACTTCTTAATATGGTAACAGCAATAGGTAGATGTTTTGAGTTTGACAAAATTATATTTCTTCATTTAGCAGGTCTTTGTGTTCTCAAGGTTGTTTGGGAACACAGCAGTAGACTACAACATGCCATGTTGGTCCTGTTTTTCAGCCAAACAACTGATTCGCCATTTACTGAAGACTGACCCAACAGAGAGGATGACAGTTTCTCAATTTATGAATCATCCTTGGATTAATGTGAGTTTCATATCTCTTCTTACAGGGGAGCAAGATGAATTCTTACATACAGAACTTACATGTAGCTCCACATAGCACAGCAAGAGAAGGATGATGTTTACTGTTAATAACTTAATTAACCTACTGTGCCTTCCACAAAGGGTCATCTGCCTGTAGGACAATTCTTCTTGGTCTTACCAGAGGACACACACAGAGACACCCACAATAGTGTCCTTAGAAGCAAAAGCTGAATATATCTATATCTTCTGTGAGCAGGCAGTCACTGTTGACTCTGCGGCATATGCATGTGTTACTCTCTTTAAAAATAGAAAAATAAACTGTATGTGCTTACTTCATCAGTGCAGGATTTAAAGAGAGCTATTATTAGTGGTCTTGGGCACCATTGTGCATAGCTGTGTTAGTGTGAACACAGTCCGGTGCTTAGTGGGAATTGTCATCCTTGGCAGAGTTGGGAAATGTGTGGGGGAGGAGCAAGGGTCTCGGCTTAGTGCCTGATAAGAGATTGCCAGATAGGGTGGTACACAGAGCTATTCATGGTCCCAGTTCAGGTTTCATTCTATGACTTGGTTGAATTTGCTTTTGCTTAAAAAATACTTTTTGGAGAGAAAGAAAAAAAACCATTAACAATACAATATTAATTATTTCAAACAAGAGACAGGAATCCCAGGAGTTATCAGACTGAGTTTCAGGATATCAGCTCTGCTCTGTAGGTGTCACTTAAAATAATTGATTGTACTTCTCACTTTTGTGCCTAAAAGGACACCAGTCTTGTTCTTGCTGCCCAAATATCATCATCCAGGAACAGAAGCACTTGTACTGTAGAATGCCCTATTCTCTCATAGTACTTTGTCTATGCTGATCCTCAGAGAAGGGGCAGAAACAGAGGCATGACTAATAGTCAGCATTTCTATAATGCCTGTTTGAAGATCTGAAAGCCCTTAGAATTATACCAAAATGTAGCTGTATGAAGTACAGCTGATGAAGTAGATGGATGTCTTCAGTTAGAGTTGTGGAAGCTGAGAAATTAAGGTTACAAAGATTCTGTAGAACTGGAACAGAACCTAGACAATGTTTCTAAGTCTTTTTTAACCAAATAAAAATGTAAGGACTGTTCAGAATAAATACCTCCAGCTTTTTAAGTGTTTTGAAGACCCAAGAAGGAGGTGTTCCAGAAGTCAGCAGGCGATGAATTTCACAGAATGAATGCCTAATAGCTAAGGAAGCTACCACCTACAGCGACACATGTTACTTGAAATATGCATATAACCAATTAATAAGGAGGAGATTAGAGACAAGGTCTATAGACTCTGCTGCACCAAAGAGCTGTGCTAGAATACTGTTCCTGGAAGAATGCTCTAGGAGCTGCAGATCGGCATTTTTTTTTTTTCCTATTGTTCCCATGAGGCAGAGGGAGGGAGAGGGAAAGACCAACATAGGGATTTAGGGAAAGGAAAGGAAGAATACAGACATTCACTAAGTGGGAATGTGTATGGGGAGATGCCTCACCCAAGCAGTGGAGGCAGTGTCTCTCCTCTTTTTTTTTTAATTAGATGGATGACAGAAATATTAGTGTGGACTATGCAAAAATCGTCAGTTTAGGTGGAGCACATAATCCTCAAGTTAGCTTGTAGATAAGATTTATTGAACAAGGAGTGGCTCACAGCAGGTAGGAGGGCAACTTCCACACCTGCTCAGGGACACCACTGAAGCCAGTCTGATGGTTTTCCATTTCCCTCCTCCCAACTGTACTTGATAAAGCCATACCCTGGAGACCTAGGGCCCTTTTCCAGAGGATGCAGGACTCATTATTTCTGCTCCCACTTGAGCAGTGGTGCTGTTAGCTTGGTGGAGTATAAACACTGCTTCCAATGGGATGCTTATTTTACAGTGACATAGGCAAGGATCTCCTTAAACTTTGTTGACATGCAGCTGTGTCTGGTGTAGGATGCCACACCAGTAGACAGCAAGTTTGAGTAGAAAGCATGAATTTATAGTTTGGGTTATGGACTGGCAAGAAATACTATGATTCTTGCTGAATTTAGCTAGGGAACTGTGCTTTGTGCTTCAGAAATTGTACCTTACTCTATTTAAATTGTCTACTGATCTTTCATGGCAGGTGAGCATAGATCTCAATTTTATGCCGAAGAGCATCTCAAGCGTTGCAGTGTCTTCTGAACTGTGCCTTGCTCTGAATAGCAGTATAATGTCCTCACAGGGGCACGAGTGATCTGATAAACTGGTAATCTCAGCTAATGTATATGTACCAGAAAATTTATCCTTTGACAAATCCCAAAAGATAAAAGGTCAAATTTAACCACTTTAAAACATTTACTAACAAACAGTGTAATTAAAGTTAAAATCTAAAATACATAAAAATGTATCCACCATAGGGTTATTGGTTGGACTGGAAGGGAGCAGAGTGAAACAAACTCAGCACTGATTTCTCTCTCCTTTTGTTCTTTAAAGATGCTGTCATGTGGGGACTATAGTCCTTTTCTACCTCACACATGAATTAGCTTGTGGAGTGATTGAAAGCATGAATAATGAGAGCTACTGAAGGACATTAGATAAACTTTTATGCTCTCCATACACATAGAAAAGAGCAAGCAGTTACTTCCCAAATGTGATTTTGCAAAACACTTCTTCTGGTATTTTTCCCTTTTCTCAGAGATCAATGTCAGTGCCACCAACTCCTCTTCATACTGCACGGGTCCTGCAAGAGGATAAAGACCACTGGGATGAAGTTAAAGTGAGTCAATCGTAGTTCAGATTTCTTGAAGTCAAGTCTGATAAGAGATTAGAGGGACTGGCTTCTCTGCGTTTGCTTATTTCTTTGGAGATGATGGCTATTTTGAATACAACCATGTTAAACAAGGGAAGCATGAACAGTCCTGGTTAGAACAGTAGTGTATATGGTAACTATTTAAAATAGAAGAATGCTGTTTGAGTTTCATCCATCAGCCTTACAGCTGTGCAAATACCATCAAAGAACATGTTTATGATCAAAGT